GCAGCAGCTGCTGCTAGTTGAGCTTGTGCCATGAAGGACGGATCAACGGGATTACTTGCAGGCATTACCAGTAAACCTAGACAATACCCGTTAAGCAACATTTTTGACGGAATGTGGAAAACAATCATTGCATAACAGCTAATGACAAAAACGAACTAGAGATATGCACCTGATTCTACAGCCGGAGGTATGAAACCGCTGCTGCTCATCGTAGTAGCTGGATCAACATCCATTGTCGGAGCAGCCGTCGTTGTTGAGCTGACGTCAGCTAACGACTGAGAAAGCTACCTGACAGTCACACCTTCCTGCGGTCTCTGTGCAACCCCTGGCTCACAAATCCCTTTATCACATCTCCCAGTAGTGGATATCATCCAATGCAATGAATACGAAAAACAACAAAAACACGGAAGAAAAACGGACGGAAAGTAGAAGAAACTTTCAAAAACTCGGCGTCCGAGTTTAGGGTTACGGTAGCGTGCATCTTTTAGTGTAGTGTGGTGCGTCGAGCTTTTGCACCACGAAAATTGGGTCGCTCGTGATTTTTTACGCGTTTTACCTTGCAAGATGGGTTGGAGTTGACTGTACAGTCGTCATCCGGTGACTTGATTATTGCGGCAAGGGACGCGACGCGGCTGCGGTGTGTTGCGAGCGCGGCGATCACCTGTTTCCAGCCTATTTTAGCCATTTTCTCCCTAGTTTACGCTGTTTTGGCTGCTTTTCTCACGATTAGTTGTTTCTTGTCTTCACAAGTAAATTATGATTGAGATTCTTCTGGTTTTTGCGTACAATTAAACAGTTAAGCAGACAATCGAACAAATAGCTGAAAAAAATCGCAAAAACACTCTATTGCAAAACAAAAGAAAACACTCCTCGTCCTAATATACTTCATATAGACGATAGAACAACTAACCTCAAAAAAAATAGAAAATAATCGTGAGAAAAGCAGCCAAAACAGCGTAAACTAGGGAGAAAATGGCTAAAATAGGCTGGAAACAGCTGATCGCCGCGCTCGCAACACACCGCAGCCGCGTCGCGTGCCGCCCAAATCAAGTCACCGGATGACGACTGTACACTCAAAT